GGTTTTTTTGGGGGGTGGGGAGCGTGGAGAAAGAGGGGAGATGAACAAAGAATTATGAAGAAGCCAGCCCATGAATTTTACATAATAGAGAGCACTTATTAGGTCATCTAACTCATCCTGCAATTTATGCCAGCTGATTTTTACAATACACTTCTGCATTGTGAAAAAGCATTCTACAGAAATCATAATGGCAGGCTAACATCAGTAAAGCACAAGTATGTCTTACAGCAGAGGTAGAAACACATGCTGCCATGTGCCAGACAGTTCAATCAGCGCTTTAGGAAGTAGAAGCAGTTTCTGAGGACAGGATACATGACAGAATACATCTAGAACTGGAAGGTTTTGATTGTTCAACAGTATGCTGAAATTTACACACTGGTAATCTTTTATAACAATTGTTTCAAGATTTTCAGTTGTTTGGGGTATTTTTGGTTTGGTTTCTTTTTGTTAAAATCTATGTGGTGGGAAACCAGACTGAAGCCTATTATTCTATTTTTAAAACACCTCCGTAATTTCTCATAATTCTAGATTCTAATAAGCAGAAGAGAGAACTTGTACCAGACTGTTCAGTTTATGTAGTAACAGTTGGGGAATCATTTGCTAGAAGAATTCAATATGCTCAGTAAGCTTTAAATCTTTGATAGCTTGGTTCCCATAAGCTCTACGCACAGGAATGAATAAAGTATCTTAGAGACAGGGAGGAAGGGGAGGTAGAAGAAATTGCAGAAAGAATACCTTTCTTCTCTTATCCTTCTCACTCGCTCAGCTCTTTCCAGTTTCTTTTGTTCTTCATATGCTTTTTGTTCTGTAGTGTCTCTTTGGATGCGCTCATTTAAGGCATCAAAATCTTTTGCTATGATATGTAGAAGCCAATATAAACCCTTTTTTATTGATTTATCGATTTTTTTCCCACAGCCCATGATGGCTGAGCAAGGTTCCTGTAAACATATGGAAAAGAGAAGAATATTATTTGCACTTCAGATCTCACTCCTTGACTAAAACCAAGAAATCAGACAAACAATTATTGTTTACTGTGAAATTGTAAAACACTAAGAAGTATCGGAAATAAAGTTGCATTTAGGTATTCTATAAATTTAGGTGCTTTTTTTGCCAAGATACAAATCACATCAGTTCTACCAATTTCCATTATTTCCAGTCCCATTTCAAAAATACTGCACAGAAAAACGTGTTTGCATGTCACTCTGTAGACATATATATACATTTGTTACATATACACACAGCTGTGACATATACACATGCTATGTGTGTATATATATATACATATGCATATTTTCATACCTGTTTCCCTATACATCCACATCTATGCATCTATGTTCTGTTTTGCTGCTGATTTATAAATAGTCCATGTTATACTTATTTCGCAAAACAGAAAAAATGAGATGCAAGAGCATCAGCTTAGCTTCAGTAAATGAAAGAAATGTTTGACTTGTTCATAGGCACATAGGGGATAAATAAAATCCAGTGTGAATGGTTCATAAAAACTGAGAAACCAATTCAGTTTTTTTAGATCAGAACAGGTATTGTGGACAGGGGTGAAGCAAAATATTATGCATTCTGCTTGGAGTAAAACTTTTGTCATGATATTCATGGTTTAATATTTTGTGGGGAAATTTAAAGATCCAGAAGAAAACTAATTAAAAGAGTAAGAGCAAACAAAAGGGTTTTTTGGTCCTTGCTAATTTTATTTAAATCTTCTTTCACAACACCCCTGTTTAAATTCACCCCATGAGTCATCATATTGAAATAACTTGGGACCATGTTTACCTTTAATGAGCCTAGTAAAGAAGCTGCCCATTTGAGTAAGACTCTCAGCTGCTTCAGCTAAAATTTCTTAGAGCATGTGATCTAGTTTCTTTGTTGATTACACCCAAGATATAAATGGAGAACAAGAACAACGTTTTACTGGAACACATCATAAATTAAGAAACTCTAAGTACTGGAAAATACACTAGAATCTTTCAGGTCTTTTATATCGATAATGCTTCGCAAGAAAATATTTTTGCCACAGAAGTCCCTTGGAAAAAAAATGGCAAACTCACAAGTTTCGTTTTTATGATAATGAACATAAGCATAATGCAAAGTCCACTGACTGAAGAAAAGCACTCAGAGCGTTATGACATAATGAACATAGCTGTGTCCTGCTATAACTCAACTTTCTAGAGAAAATAATAGCAGTATGTATTACCCTATGAATTTTAAAACTCTCCTTAAGGAATTAAAAGTCTTATTAAAATTTAAAACCCCAATACCAGCTGGAATAGTTTTGAAAAATTGCCTTCTAATTTTGATTAATAACAGCAAAACTCTCGTTATCTTTTTAAATGTTTCTTACTGCAATTAGAAAAATCATTAAAGTAAAGCCAACAAATAATTACTAACAAACTGGTTGATTAAAACAGAGGCTTAAAGAAAACTTCAGGGACTACGAATTTGGATAAATTATTTGAAATATTGACCAATATCAAGCAGCTTTTATACAGATTCTCCCATCCCTTTTTGATTATTTTGGGTTTTTTTTTTTCAATGTGAATGAAATGTAGGTATTTTAGGACAAATATAGAGTAACTAGCTCTAACACTGTCCTTTGATGACTATTGTGCTGGGAATTAGATGCCCTAGGAATCAGATTAAGTTTGTACTGTTTGCCAGATGGCGACTCAGACTAATGGTGGTTTTACCTATGAAAATGAGATAAACATTGTATCTGAACAGTGATCCTTCCTGAATGCCAACACAGGCAAATTCCATTTCCTGCTTCTTTTTAAAAAGGTGGAATACTAAACTTTTTGTCCAATTAAAGAAGTTTGAAACCACATCAGTAACTAATTATTCTTACATGGTTTCAAAATGGACCAGCAGGTACACTTTTAGGATCCCTGTTCTAAAGATTTCTTCAACAGATCCAGAAGCAGAGCAACAAGGTGGGCAGAGAATTGCTTGCAGAGCAGATATAGGTACTGTATCTTTCAGAGCAGATATAGGTACTTTATCTTTGCTGGGATTGCAGGGTTTTAGTTTCTGTTTTATGCTATGTGGCATACTCCTCTACCTTATTGCAAGATTTACATTCATATTAGAAAACAAATTATCTTAAAATATACTTACAATTTGACATAGACACTTGTGTTCATTGACAAGCTTTTCTAGAGATAAGGATTCGATTACATCTGCTTCTGACAGAGCTCCTTCCCTGTCCTGCTTATTTGCCAGCCTAAAGAAAAGATCAAAAGAAACACTTTGCACCCTGACATGAAACAGATTCTCAGATCTCTAATAGCTAAGTTTTTGATAAAAACAAAAACAAAGGGGAAGGAGAGCGTAATGAGAAAATGCCTTGTTTCACCTTTAATTCTTAATTGTTCTTTCTACTCAATAAACATGTTAGTCCATACACTATTTTCAGCCAATTAATCCATGCACTATTTTCAGCCGATACTAACACTAAATAAAAGATGCTTAATTATTAATAGACAAAGCAATTATATTTTACAGCTAAGATGATGTAAAAGACTGTACCGTTCTACATCTAAAGCTACACAGTACAATCTGCTGGAGTCTATAGACTCAAGTTCAGAACTTTGCAACTTCCCAAATCATGCACATTTCCCCCCATAATACTGCTTCATGATCATCTTGGGTGTGCCTACTACCCAAAATTTCTCTCTGATGCCAAACAATTTGATAGGTAATGTGCAACAATTCTAACCCGCTCTTCACAGGTAAAACAAAGCTCAGAGGGAGGAACTTGCATGAATGGCTCTCGAAAACATACTTTATTATTTATTATTAAATAGAGGTAAGCAAGGAAAACAAAAGGTGAACAAAACACAGAGCTTACAAAATAAGCATTCTGTAAGATCAAGGGCCATCATTGTCTTATTTCTTATAGATACAGTAGCAAAGAAGACTCCAGAAGATAAACATCTTAAGTTCTGGTGAGACTGTTGATCAGATTTTTTTGTTTTACATATACTCTGTAACTGCATCCAACACCACAGCCAAAAACGTGTGTTTTTTTAAAAGGCCCAAACCAGATCTGATTTACCACTCAAAGAACATTATTCATTATTTCATACTTTAATATCAACATACACCCTGAAGCAGAGGCTGTTATGTTCCTTTCAACACTTTAATATTAATAACTACTACAAAGAAAAAAGGACTGTCCAGAATTATAAACAACCCAAATGCTTAAGTTCTTCACCTCTACAAACTCTTGGTGATACCATATTCTAACCACAGAAATGAAAGTTACTTCCTTTTATCAAGACTAACCTTTTAATGTTTCACTGAAAATTCCTCTATATATTAAATAAAACTGGAAAAGCTTCTGATCTAAAGCCCTAAAATGTACATGACAAACTACGTGTATGAAAAAGCAAGAGTAACTGCTAAAACCTGTATGGAAACACCTCTCACAGAAAGGCAAAATCTTTTCCCTTATGGGCATTTTTCTCAGCCATCCAAGTAATTGTTTTCATGAAACTCACAGGACTTGATTGTCCTTAAGAACTCAATTTCTTGATTAAAATGGATTTAAACTGGTCAGCATTGAAAAAGGTAGGATGCATTAACACGATAAGTTTACCTAAGTATTTAGGAATGTGTTAGCCAAGCAGATGTGTTCCCTAAGAAGAAACTTAGAAAAGTAAACTTGCAGTCATGTTGGTCAATGATTTTCAGAGTTCACTTACAAGCAAATTTTAATAACAAATGGAGAAATTTACATAGAAATACAAAATACATATTTTAAACAGACAAAAAAAATAACAAAAAACCACATAGGAAGTATTTCCTGTTTCTTGAGGGTCTGAGAGGTCAAGTCAAAAAAGAGTTGTTCCCTTCTTCCATAAAATCCCTTTGTGACAACAGGACATCTAGTCTTTCCTCTTCTGTTACCTGCTTTTAACTAAAAGTGAGTATGGTAAAACTCTAGAGAGGATGAAAAGATATTAAATAGTATTTTAAGAGCAATAGGCTACTCCTGTTTGAAGTTACTGTTTTTCAGCATGAAAACTGGTAGTTTGCTTTTAACCAGTGTACACCATTTTGGAATATAAGCATACTATGCAATCTTATTTTGCATCTTCTACAACAGTAATAATCTAAGCTAAGTGCAAAGGCTGTAAAGAGGAGCATTGCATAGCATTAGGGAAGCTTCTATGAACACAATAGCAGATGGTTTTGGAACCAGATATCATAACCTTTGTTCTGAAATCTTGTCATCATTATTAACTCAAATGGCTCTCCTCTCCACCCCTCCTTTGATAATTCATTTCCACTTCTCAATAAGAAGAGTATTTCTACAGTACTTTGTATGATTCAGCGCAGAGATTCCCTAGCTGTTGTTCAGTGCATATACAGAACCTATGACACTCAATATAATACTCTGGCACCATCTCTCACCAACCAGCTAGAACAAGTAATATCCTCTCAGTATTTACCTACGAAATAGGGCCAAAGCTAAACCAGGGAAACACTGAAATGAAATTCAAGAAAGCTATGGAAAGTAATTAAGAGATAGGAAACAATTATCTCCACTCTTTGTTCCCCATATAACCATCTTTGTTATAGTCTGGAAATCCTGTGGCACTGCCCCTTAGTCTCAAAAAGGATTCTTCAAGCAGTGCTGTCAATCCACCTAGATCTAATTGAAGAAAATATTTCTGAACACAGTTTGTTGCCACAGCCTATTCCTTTCTCACCTGAAGATTCAATAACTGCACTATTTACTGTGCTATTGCACTGCACACTCTACAAAGCACAGCTGAAGGAGAATGAAATGTTGGTAAACTGCATAGCTCACCGAGAGTGTGACACCAATGTCCTATAACTTGTAGTAGCTGCTGATTTTTAACCTCTAATACCTTAAATGGTGTAAGGTTTGGCTTTTTGGTCAATTAGCTTCCATTTTCTCCACAGCAATCCTGTTGCAATATTGACTGGATTAAAAAAAAATAACAGCTGAGGTGCTGTATCTGGAAAAGTAGCATATCCAAATAGCTGTCTCCAGCTTATGTTTTGCACAGGTCATACATTTCCTGCTGTACGCCCCTGCTCGCTTCAGCCTTTAGGTCACACTTTAATGTAATTAAAATAATTTTAAGATACTGTGATAGAAGGCATTGTTTTGCTACAGCTTTTTATTTTCCTTTCCAGGTAAATGCATTAATACCTCCATGACCTACCCTTGCTTCCTTTCCCCTTCACGCTTTAGTGTAGAAGAAAGCAATCCCTGCCCTTACACTTGTCCTTCATAGGTAGGCAGTGCTCCACTTCCAGCTTACAAAGCCTCTATCTAGGGAGCTGCTCCTAGACACTTCCTGCTACTGGGCAGCTCCAGGAGTGATCCGCCTCTCAGCAAGGCTGGGTTTCAAACAGGCAGAACCAGATTCCCCAAGTAGAAAGTAATCAATTTGCTTGTCTACTGCAGTTGCACAAGTCAGTTTCTCTCGCACCACTGCTGCTGAAGATGAACCCCTGGACAGCTATATAAAGAGCTAGAAGTGGAAGGCATGCAGAAAATACTTAATGGAATGCCACTCTAGATGCATTGCTTAGGCAAGTATTCAAAACAATCTGTTTTTCAGATTATACTGAAGTTTAACCTCAGAAGTTCCTCTGTAAAGGATAAACCAGAAAGCCACCAGCACAGGATTAAAAGGTAAAGACTTTTCTTCTACTTGAAGTTTATAAAGCTGCAAATATTAGAAAAAGACTGCGTAGTGTGTGGTTTAGAATGGAAATTAGCAGAAGTGTCAAGACAAACAAATAATGGATGTCTACCCTGTAAAGAACTGAGTATCTCTCAGAGTAAATACAGTCTCAGAGCTCTGCTGCTCATGCACAGGAATGCTAGGCTTTCGGGCAAGTTTTATGCATAAAACGTTCTTCTTTAGGGAATACATGTGAGTTATCTTAAAGGAAAGACCTTGATTTTAATTTTCCAAGTCAATAGAACTTCATATATAGCAATTTTTCATGTTTAAAAAACTGTAGGCAGTATATATCAAAACATACTTGAAAGCACAGGAGAGTGTCTGTTGTTTTGTCACATTAAGTTTGCTGAGTAAGAAGCTTTCACATATAAAATCATGCTTGGCTTATTTCTATTTCACATAAAGCATATTTGGAACCTTTTTAGTGTAACAAACTTACTTGACACCAGAAGTAAAGAAAAGGTAGGCACCAACTGCTTTTATATCAAGTGGGATTTTTTAAAGCAACTAGAGAGCTTTTGTTAAGAGTCATGGGAAACATTGTGGAAAGGGAGTGTATGTGTGCATTGGCACAACTGACATCTGCAGTTCAGCAACAATATTTCTCTTAAAAGCCAGAAGACATGCCAGAGAGAAACAAAGTTTGAATGCAAACTACTTGTGTTCCTTGAGCTGTTTCTAAAACATAAATTACTGAGCAAAGAGAAAAAAAAAAAATAATAATCAGCATTAAAATCTACTTTACAAACCAAAAGATCCAATACGAAATGAACACATTTGTATCTCAGCTTTCATCAAAAATCCAAGAAATGTTAAGGCAGGGTTTATTTGGGAAGAAGGTATTTTGTGTGATGGTACGTGCACATGCATGTGTTTGTTTTCTTGCTTTGCAGAGTAGGAGGGTTCTTTTAAACAGTTACTTTCCAACTTAGGTATTTCTCTCCACTTCTGTGGGATTCTCATACAGTAACAACACTGAAAACTAAATACTGTCAAGGGTACACACTGGGGAAGTGTCTCAGAGATGCTGCTTTGGGGTTGTTTAATAAAAGGCAGTTATTACAACCACAGAATTTTGAGTCAAACGGGTATGGTGGCCATCAGGATTAATGAAAAGCAAAGCATCTCTGAACTCAAAATATTACAGTATCAGAACTATCAACATGCTTAAAGGCAACTTTAGGAAAATGTGTTTTATGAGAATTATTTATCAAAATCAAGTATATTAGTCTTTAAGGCTACTCCAAGAAGCCATAGCTTTGAGGGATTGAATTAGCATTCCTGGGAAAACAAAGAAGAGAGGGAACCTTTGAATTTAGCTGCAGTCAAGACAAGTGAAAGAACAATGCCATGTTCTTCAGTCTGCAGTTGGTCTTCTATTTTAAAATGCTGTTCAGCTCCTTTTCCTTGACAAATTTCACCTCTCATCTATTACCTTTTTTCTTGGGCAATCCTGTGGACAGCAATTTGTAGGATGTTTTGTCCTAGGGAA